GTACCCCCAAATTAGATTTCATATATTAGTATTTTCTGTTGTAAGTATTAGTATAGTCGACAATCAGAGTTGCTCGCTTTTGGATCTGATCAGATTTGCTCTATGAGAACTGCTTTCAGAGTTGCTCTCAGGAAGTCATCAGAGAAGCATCAGAGTTCGATGTATAGCCTCATCAGAACTCAACCTCTGAACAACATCAGAGCTGCTCATAAAGAAAGCATCAGAGTTCCCACACCAGAGCTCGACTTGAAACTACATCAGAACTACTCATCAGAAAGCCATCAGAATCCAACGTATCAGAAGACCCCGATCAGAGTCCGACTAACACTTGGAAGAATTTCAAGGCTACTTTCAACGGCTGGGAAATTCATCAACGGCTAGAAGATATTCCGTCCAAGGAAAGCATTTAATGCTCATTAAATGAGCCTGATACGCTTTGGATTGATTGCAAATGATTGACCGAGAAATCTGGAAGATATATTATAAAAATAGAAAGCTTCCAAACCAGTGGTCAAGTCAACAGTACGTGCATTTAATGCAGTTGTCTCCTCCTCCAACGGGCAGACAACCCCGGTATATAAGCTACTCACCGAAGAACAGGAATATAACTTTGCTACAACTTTTGCTCATCATACTTCAAGCTCTCTTGAGATTCAAACTCTACAATCATCAACAAGACAAGCTTACGTTGGGAAGATTCAATTATTCTTATCCTCCAAACCCAACACACAGCAAAGTTCATCCTTTTCTTCAACCTTCAAGAACTTCAACTACATATCTTTTGTAACGAAGCAAGTTGGAGAAAATTCTGTTTTCAGAACATCTTCTGCAAAGAAGGGCGTCCAAGTAACTGCAGTAGTGAAGTGGTGATACTTCCGGGAAGTTGAGTGAAAGGACCAGTCATCAGGAAGCAAGACTGCATCCCGGGTGACAACTAGACTTGAAGAAGGCGTGGAGAACTTCTTAAGTGCTAGGGACTAAGGCGTTGTAATTGATCCTTACAAGCTTAGTGGAACAGTGGACTAGAGGAACGCGTTGTTCCTTGAACCACTATAAAAACTCCGGTGTCATTTACTTTCTGCACTTTAGTTTTTCACTGCATAACTCTCTAGAACTTGGACTCTGTGTTCAGCAGATCGTGTTCTCAGAGTTATCAGAAAGGCACTTGCCTTTGTATTTAGTTGAGGCTACCCGGAACTCTTATCCGCTGCAAGACCAGTTCTGATCATCAGAACTCGACCATCTCTGACAAGTCAACTCTGACTTAGAGAAAAGTTGAAAAACTTGAATCAGTCTATTCACCCCCCCCCCCCCCCTAGACTGATTACCAACTCAAACGGGACCAACAGATCGGTTGATAAGATAGCATGCGGTGTTGACTGCTTCTCCCCAGAATGACTTCGGAAGTTTAGCCATATTCAGCATGCTCCGGACACGCTCCATGATAGTCCGGTTCATTCTTTCAACAATGCCGTTGTCCTGAGGGGTGCGTGGTACTGACTTCTCATGTCGAATGCCATATTCTCTACAATATGCATCGAACGCCTTGGAAGTATACCAAACAGACAATGACTGCAAAGACCCAGTGCATCATTCTTGTCAATGTTGATAAGGTTCTTCTTCATCAAGGTATTCAACCCTTTCTCACCGATGTGGCCGAGTCTCAGGTGCCACAGATTCTGAGAGGTCTCCTCAGCAATGTTGAGGCTATCCGTACAAATCCTCAAATGAGTTTTATACAATGTGCCACAAACATGTCCTCGAGCGATTGTCAAAACGCCCTTTGACATTTTCCAGGTGCCCTTGTTAAAGTGGTTTTCATACCCCTGTTCGTCAAGACATACCACTGACAGGAGATTGAGTCGAAGGTCCGGAACATGTCTGGCATCCTTCAAAGTGATTGTGCTCCCAGTACTCGTCTTTATTTGTACATCACCAATTCCGGCTATTCCAGAGGAACTGGAATTGCCCATCTTCACTGCTCCAAAGTCACCAACTTTGTAAGTTGTGAAGTAGTACCTATGGGGAGTAACATGGTAGGATGTTGCAGTATCTACCACCCATTCAGTGTCCTCTCTTGAGACGTGAAGGCATGTTTCATCATTGATAGTACAATACGCCACATCACCTTAGATTGTGATGAGCGCTTCACCACCCTTGTTCTTCGCTTGAGAATTGCTCTTGCTCGCTCCTCTAGCAATTTGTAGCAATTCTTCTTCATGTGACCCTCTATACCGCAATGGTGGCAAGTATAAGAAGGTTTCCGGCCATCCGATGATCTCCCCCGACTTTTGCCCCTGCTTTGCCATTTCTCTCTACTGTTTCTTTGTTGTTTTCCTTGTGATCTTCCTCTATTCTCCGTCACAAGGGCATGAGTCTCATCTGTGCTCATGTCTTTCCTTCTTGCCTCCTCATTGAACAATGCATCCTTAACCACAGACATGGTAAGTTTGCCATCTGGGGCTGAGTTGCTGAGAGTAACAACTAGTGTCTCCCAACTATCAGGAAGGGAACTAAGAAGTAGTAGAGATTGCATTTCATCTCCAAGTGGCATTTCTACACAAGATAGTTGATTTACCAGACTCTGAAATTGACTAGTATGTTCGGCAACATAAGTTCCACTTTTGAGCTTCATATTGACAAGACGCCTGATCAGTAGGGCCTTGTTCCTAGCGGTCTTGGCCTGGTACATATCTTCTAACTTCTTCCAAAGGGCATAAGCGTCGGTCTCTTGTGCAACATGGTGGAAGACACTATGGTCAATCCATTGTCGGATTTGACCAATAGTTTTTCTATTAATTTTCTTCCACTCCGTTGACTTGGTCGGGTCAGGATTAATACCCTTCATCTTTATTGGACCAAAAAGGTCTTTACAACTAAGGAAATCTTCCATCCGAGGTTTCCATAACGTGTAGTTGGTAGCCGTGAGCATAATCATAGCTCCGGAAGATGAAGTTGACTCGTCAAAGGTCATTTTCACCTTCTAAATAATTTTGATTTTCTGTTTGAGAAAAATCGGAGCAGAATTTCGAAAAACGGGCAACACCGTTGCGTCCGGAACGCCCGAAAATGGTGGGTAGGCACTTTCGGGGTCAAAATACAATTTTCGAAAAATTATAGGCCGAAATTATAAGTTTTCAAAAATTGAGGGACCAAACTACAATTTTTCAAAATTTAAAAACTGGCCGGTGACGTGGCAGGTGACGTGGCAGGTGACGTGCCAGTGACGTGGCGATGACGTGGCAGCTGACTGGACGCTGGAGAAAGATGGCAGTGGACTGATGACGTGACGGTTGACTGTGTTGGGACTGCACTCATGGCGTTGACGTGGCGCTGACGCAGCTCTGGCTGGCTGATGACGTCAGCGATGACGCCAACCGTCTTCTACCTCTGGACCGCACGTACTGCGCGTGATGACGCAGACAGTTTTTCGCCGGCGTTTGGTGGCGCGTACGGCAGCTTCCGGTGGCCAAAAAATTCCCCAAAAATACCAGTTTTCTCGTCTCGACGAGACGAATCCAATGGTATATTCAGATTGCAATTCCAAGCATTACTGAAAAACTCGATTTTTTCAGGCAATAGAATTTTGTCTGGAAAAAACCTGGGAAAAATATCAAAAGCTCAACCAGGCTTTGATACCACTTGTTGGGAATGACAAGATCGTGCTAATATGAGAGAAAAACACTTCTATTACTTTCAAGAATAGAAAGAAGAGACATACAAGCTCTAACTAAAAACTCTCAAAAACAACACCTCACATATCTCTCAAGGATATTCACAACCCTTCTTGGTTGTGCTATGATGATCTATTCTAATTTACTTGATGATAGAAAGACTCTCCAAGCTCTCTATTTATAGCACCAAAACTAGGTACTAGGAAGGTGGAAGGAAGGTGTGTTGAAGCTAGGGGGAAGCTTCAATGGAGGTGTGAGGAAGGTGATTCTTTGGTGTGAAGAAACTTCCCTTGTCATTCTTGCACATGGGGGAAGTTACATGGAAACTAGAAAGTGGATTCTTCAATTGGCTTGTACTTGGATATGTCATGGAAATTGAATTCTTCAGGCAGGGCTGAACATAGAGATCCTTCGAAGAGAATAGCACGCTAGAGTAGAAGTTTTAATCGTTAGGAATGAACAATTGAAAGGCGGCTTAAATTATCGATCAAAGAAGAGGCACCTTAAATTATCGATCGAAGAAGAAGAAGAGTTCAGAGCGGAACGCCTTTTAATCGTTAGGGCTGGAGGATGTTTGGCGTAAAAGGAAGATATGTTTTATCTTTTTAATGATTGAGCCATCTCCACCGTTTAACAAATCTTATGGCTCATATTGTCTTGGCCGGATGAGAAAGTGGTGTGGACGGATGTATGAGAAAAGCACTTATATATAATACTTAGAGGGAGAGTTTTAAAATAATTTGCATGCTTTTTATAAACACTACAACGACTTTGCGTGAAAAGAAAAAATACACATCTAGATAAACAATATAATCTATTTTACAAAGTGAGTGATTCTTAAACTTTGTACGCAATCATTTCAAATGCAAAACTTAAACTTGTAAACTAACAAACAAGCCCTTAAGTAAGCTTGATCACCAATATACTAATACTAATTAATCCGTATTAAACAAACTTGCTTTATTAGAGCATCTCCAATGCTACAATGTGCACGGTGCACATGTAGCATGAGAGATAGCCACATACATATTAACAAATAAATTATTTCTCTCCTTATTTAAATGATTTTATACAATTTTGGTAAGTTTTCCTCTGCAATGTTAACGACAATGTCTACATCTAGACAGTCTCCTTAACATTGTGGAAAAAAACTTACCAAAATTGTATAAAATCATTCAAATAAGAAGATAGATAATTTATTTGTTAATATTTTTGTGGTCATCTCTTATGCCACATGTGCACCGTGCACATTATACCATTGGAGATGCTCTTAGTTCTTGACTCAAAAGTCAAAATTTCACGATCAATGTCCGGTGTAAAACAAAGGGGATGAAGGGCAATTAAGTTACGACTTCCGCCGTATAAACTTTTCTTTTGAAAGCATAAATAAACTAGATCAGTAAAACAAAGGGGTGAAGGGTAATTAGTTTTTGTTTTTGAAAGATAATTAGAATTTTTATAAACTACGTAGAACATTATTAGTGTTCCAAAGTGGAAGAATATATACTAGGGTTTAACCTTTGTCTTTCTCTTTCATATCTGGAATTTGAAAACTATGCACTCGTGAAAATTATCAAATTTGGGGAATTCAATTTCATGTCTACCTGTTGAGATCTTCTAAGCTTCAGCTACTCGGTGAGCATGTAATCGTAAGAGTTACAATTGTTTTGCAAAACTTTTCATGGGTATTTACGTGTACGTGCGCTTTAGTTTTTCCTTATACTTTACTTTAAGAGATATGGTGTGGTTCGCATTGAATATTGATGCCACGCATGTTATTGTTCAGTTCAGGGTCGAATTATCAGTTTCACGGCTTAGTTTGGTTAGGATGTGATGTTAGGGAACTCATTAGCATGGCTTTGTTGCATTGCATTTGGCAAATTCTTTGTCTGTTTGAAGGGGTCGTGTTTCTGTTGCGAATGAAAATTATTATTATTCGTATTACTTTTTATTGGAAGTAATGTCAAATAAGCATAGAAATTCCTTTGCTTGCTGGAAGTATAAGGAAACGTATGTTATGGGTCATAGTAAAATCTGATATATTTCTAGTTTAGGTCTGTACTTTCATTGATTTATCTTTTGAATTTGCCCTAACCTGGAATTTTGCTCGTCTATTAGTTATTATGTCATCATGTTTTTCTTTCTATTAATATCTCTGTTTCAATGGCTTTCCAAATTCCAATGCATGTAAAATGGTTTTTCCCCCATCATTTTCGTCTCTGTGTGTGCACAAGCATTTGCGCTCTGAATTGTAGATCTTTTTATTGTTCTATACATTGGCAAACCTCACACGCATTCTTTATCCCCTGTTTCAGATGGACAATTATGCATTTGATTCAACGATTTGCTTGTGCAATATATTTATGCATGGCCCTGATGTTATTAGTCAGAGGTAGTGTCCCTATTGAAGTTTGTCTTTGAGATGTCTGCTCGAGGTAATAATGGTACTCAGGCTGGGCAGGTAGGTCATACTTCTGGACCCGCACAACACTTGCCACCTCCTCCTCCCCCTCCTCCTATACACCCTCCACCACCACCTCCTCCTCCTTTTCCCCAGAATGCCCTTTCTGCTCCAACAGGACCTTTAATGCAGAGTAGTCTTCAACTACTTGAATCATCAGCAGTTCATCCCAACCCGCTTGTATATCAGCATATCCACAGTGGTGCAACTCGGAATTTCCGACCTCAACAACTTCCAACTAGTGGAAACCATTCCAGTCAATCTTGTTTGATACCCAATGTGCCTCCCCTCCCTCCACCTGTCCAACTCCATCAAAGTTCTATCATGTCCAACTCCTATCAAACTTCCTTATGGAGTTCACAGTGGACTCCAAATGTGCATCATAATCTGCCTGCAAGTGCTCCAAGAGCTCCTAGAGTGTTTCCCCAACCACCCCCACCTCAAATACAAATAGAAACACCAACACAATATGGAGGTTCAGGCCAGATGTTGTTACCAGTACCTGGTAACGGTCAGGCATTCCAACATGCAGCACTGTCTGACCTTAAGAGCACTGTTTTTTCACCATCACCACTTAGGACATCAAGTGGTCCACTTCCTCCTCCACCCCCATCTTTTCCTGCAGAAGCCCCACCGATTCCAGAATCTATTTCACCCACTACTTTTCCTGCCACTTCAAATTCAGCACCTATGGAGAAGTATTGTAGTTTGCCCAATAAGTTAGAAAGAAGTTCCGGCACGTCTACAAGTATTGTTATTGATGGAATAGCCTCTGCCTCAGAAAGTTATAGCTTATCTTCAGTTTGTATGAATGAAGGCCCCCAAGAAGAAGCGGAAGGAACCAGACACACAGTACATTTGTCAGTAAGTGAGAATCTAATATTGGATTTTGCTACTTCGTCCCCTAAGCATCTTGATAGAGAAACACTACAAAACTGTGATGTTTTGGATGTTCATGCTTCTTCCCCTAAGCCCCCCAATGGGGAAATGTCTAACAAAAGTGATGATCATGGAGATTACAACACATCAAGGGGGGTATCAGAAATGTGCTCTTCGCTCCAATCCATTGACTCAGTAGATGCTGGTGTGTCCTATTCCCCTACCAATTCTGATATGGAAATGGAAGGTCAGTATATTGGCTTGTTTTGATATGCATTACATTCACCATTATTCACATCTTCTGTTGGTTTGCTTAGTTAGGTATGATAAGCCTGCCCAATTTGGGATGTAGGGACCATTTGGTAACTGATGGTTCCATATTTCCAATGCACTTCAATTTTATATCTACACTCTCTTGTTTTCTTAGATAACTCGCCTGAGACTGGCTGATTCTGAATCATGCCTTCTATTATTGAGCCTTGAACTGTTGGTCTAGAACCGGAACCAAACTTGGTTACTCCTACAATTCAATATTTTCTATTATGCATACATCACGAGAGATGTAGTTGGGTTATTGATGTTGATGGGGTCTTTATTTTTCATTGTAACGTGGAAGCATTGTGAAAAAAAGTCAATAAACAGATAAGTCTCTATGTTGAATGTTTGTGCCTCTGATAGTCTGATCACACTCTTCCACTTTCCTGTTTCTTTTTATGTATCTCATTGTTAACCATTTTGCAATTCCCAAATGTGTCCTGGGCACTACGGTCATTGTTTTTACCTGTTAGTGAAGACCTATTTTGACCTTATCATGTTAAAAAAATTGTAATTTCTGCCACCCATTGTAAATCATTTAGAGTGAGAATGTAGTGTTTCTCATGGCTTTATGTTTTTTGATTGAGGAGTGATCTAATTTTGACCCTCAGTCTCTCAACTTCTCAAGTCTTTCCTTTGGAATTCTGAGGCAATATTTTTCTGTGTCTTTTCAGATGATATCACACATCCAGATGAGGAACATAATGTTTACTCATTTTGCACTCCATATCAGGAGTGTATTTCTCTACAAAATAAACTTTTCGTCGAGGAGAAGTTCCAAAAAGAAGCAAGCACAGCTGAATGTGGCTTAGCAGGAGACACAGATGAAGACCGACAAGGTGCCAAACATTTGTTTACTTTATTTCAGGATTTTCATATATTGCACAGCAGAAGTCTCCATTCGAGTCTTTCAATGTATCTTCCCCCCTAAATGCTGAAGTAAATCTTCTTTGGCAATCTCTAGACTCTAGTATAGTACCCATTCAGTCCATCTTGTATAATTAGTTGGTTTCAATGGCGATCAGGGACGGACCCACCTTGTGTCCCACGTGTCCCGGGACTCCACAGATGTCTAAAAAACCACATGAGTAATGTGCCTGTCAGGCCTTCGGAACCGCCGTTCGGCTGCCTCCATTTGAGATGCTTCTTCCCAGTGGAATTTGTTGATGGAATTTTGTATGCGTGTTCTTGATTACGTTTAGATTATGCCCACCAAATTTCACTTTAAAATTCAATCGGGAAGTCACTTAAATAAACTATCGAAACACTGTGCCAATATATATATAAAGCGCAGTGTTTCTCAATAATTTATTTAACTTCCTTTTCCTTAGTGATTGAATTTTAATCTGAAATTTGATGGACATAATCTACACTTCATGAAGAACATCACGAAATCTCATCAAACAATTCTACCCAGAAGCACCTTAAATGAAGGCGACAGGACGGCGGTTCCAGTGAGGAAGGCCTGGCAGGATTTCTCAAATATATATTATATATATAACTAACCAAATTAATGTGTATATATAATACTATGAGTGAACTAAAGAATGAAGTGGAAGCTATTGCATTCAAACAATTTCCGCTTTGCACTTTTGGTCATATACATTGCACTAATGCATTCAAAAGTGCACTATTGGAATGTTTTTTTATTTACTTACAAAAATGTCACCACATTTTGAATCAATTTTAATGCATCGTTGGCATATTTCAAGCCATTATATATCACAAATCTGATGCACTGAATTTATTTTTGTTTTTCATGGGAAAAACACTTTTATTTGAGCCACATTCTATGTATATATATGGAGTAGCATTCATATCAGGTCGGCCTGGCAGGAATCAAGCAGGCCAACTTCATTTTTTCCGAATATAAAGTTTATGATTCATTTTTTTATTCATTAGTATCAACTTGTAGTTGCAACTGTTCAATCATCAAAATATTTAAAATTATAAGAGCTTAAATTTTATTTTTATGATGAGTTGATATAAACCGTTTTAGTTTTAGATGTGAAGAAGTGAGCTTGAAGGGTCTACATTTGAACAAAATTAAGATCTAGCTGTTGAAACTAATAGTTGATACTAATGAACAAAAAAATTAGACTATAAGTTTCATTTTCGACCAAAATGAAGTTGGCCTGACTGGATTCCCATCAGGCCGGCCTGACGCCGAACACTACTCTATATATACATAGATTGTGGCTCAAATAAAATCGGAATTTGGAATATAAACTTCATTCATCTCCATTTCTGCATACCCTTATGAATTTTCATATTGATCTTGTGCTATAGCCAAGGCGTCATCTCCTAGACTCGATGAGTCGGTTACTAGTTCAATTAGAAGTGCTGCAGAAATACAAGAATCTTCTTTACATGAATGTTTTGGCAAAGCTAATCCCGTGTTGGGTTTGGGAATATGTACTACTCAGCTTGCTGATGGCCCTGGTCCATTTAGTCTTATCCAAGGCTATTCGTCTGATGACTGTTTAGACAATGATAATAATGATGAGTTCCAGATTGAAGTGAAAACCATAGTGAATTATGATGCTGGTAAATCACCCGAGTGTCCTGCATCACGAAGAGTGGTTAGTGAAACTGATACAACATGCAACTTTTTAGGGCATGGTGAAGAGAATCCTCCAAGAGATTCTGACACAAATACCACTTTAGATATTCTTGATTTCCTAAGGGAGGAGGATGTGAAAAAAACATCTGCTTTGGTGAAGATTGATGAGTTTGGTAGACTAGCCAGAGAAGGGAAAAGTGACAGTGACTCTGGGAGGGATTCACCGTGTTACGGAAGGACTCGAGGTAAAAGAGAAAAGAGCCAGAGTCAAATCTGTTCTCCATATAAAAGGAGGCGGAGTCCAAGGCGGAGCCCAAGGCGGAGCCCAAGGCGGAGTCCAAGGCGGAGCCCAAGGCGGAGTCCAAGGCGGAGCCCAAGGCGGAGTCCAAGGCGGAGCCCAAGGCGGAGTCCAAGGCGGAGCCCAAGGTGGAGTCCAAGGCGAAGTAAGGATAGGCGCAGATCGTCTAGGAGGTAATAAAATTAAATTGTATTACATGACGTTCTTGATTGATTTCTTGCCACTGGGTCGTGTTATATTTTCTGTATTTTTCTTTATATTCTCAGTGTATCTCCAAAGAGACGCAGAAGTAGGAGCAAGTCCCCTTTTAGGCATGAATTTTGCAGTAATGATAAAATGAGAAGGGGAAAACTTCACCTTTCCGAATGCTTGGACTTCAAGAGAGGCAAATGCAACCGTGGAGCTTCATGTCGGTATTCCCACCATAGTTCTGATAATAAAAGCGACAGATCTCAATCTTACTGGAGTAGGGAGCAGCATCAGCTCCACTTACCTAGTTCAAGGAATTGTGGCTTATTACATGAAGAGGCTGAAAGTGCTCTAGTTAAGAAAACTGTTGACGAGAATGATAGTAATAATAAAACCAAAACCCAAGAGTTGAGTATTGTTCATGAAACTCACAATGTTGGAGAAAAAGGGGAAACAGAATCAGAACCTACATCTCACCTGCATGGAAAAGCAAGTCACGGAAGCCCTGTAGTTGACGGTAAACGTGAGATGCATCTTGCAGCTGCTGGTGTTACCTCATCATCATTTGAAACTACAAACGAAAATTGTGATCAGACTCGCCAAGGTGTTGTTTGTAAACCTACTAATGTAATAGCTGATCCTGCAATCTCCAAACCATCAAATCTCGAAGCATTAACATCAACCCCATTCCAGCACCTTCAGTTTCCCGATAATAAAGAATTATTATCTTCTCCAAGTTTACCACAGCCACCATCCCACCATTCCTTTTCTGCATTTTCCTATGCTCCAATTACAGTATCTGCACAACCACTCTTCAACACAGCATGTGTTCAAAATTTCCCCCCTTACCAGCCTCCATTGCGTCTTCCACAATCTCATTTTCGTGCACCTTTTAACAATTCTTGGAATTCGCACCTGCCAGCTAAACCACCACCAAATTCATCATATCCTGTTGTTCATAATGCAGTTGGGAACAGTGCTCTTCGACCATATGGTGCAACTCCATCACAGTTTCAACAGAGTATGCCGCTGCAAGGGAATGGCTTTATTATTCCTCACAATTCTGTATTGCCGAGTAGTTCTCAGGTTGGCCAACTTCCGGCATATGGGCATACTTGGCCAAGCAAGAATGTTGGTGATACTCTACCTCATGGTGAACTTCCTATTCCATCTTCCAAGAGTTATCCTTACATGCAACAGCTCCCCTGTGGTCTCCCCAATCACACTGGGGCTGCTAACGCATCAGTATACTCTTCTGATGTTCTTCTAGACAGGAACCAGAAACCCAGTTTGCCTGATTTTGGTGGATCTAGATTATCAAGTTACTTCAATCCTTATGCGTCTAACTTTGAGCAGCCACTAGCCTCTAAGATCAGGTCAAATGCTCCCATAGAAGGAAAGGAAATTCTTTCTAGTGACAGAAATGGTGCTCCTTTTAGTCTGAACAATGTACGAGCTGATGGACATCCAGCGGAAAGCCTTGGATTACAAAATACTCTACCAAACTCTGCCCCATATGATCCACTATTTGACAGCATTGAGCCATCTACAAATTCATTGCAAAAACCTGGTCCTGTCCAAAATAGCGAAACAACTTTGGACTCAAATGTCATGAAAAAGCCTAGCAGATGGAGCAAAAATGCATTGGATGTTGAAGAAAACAACACACATAAAGGTGATGGAGCTAGTGGTATTGCTGATGCATCAGCAGGCAATGATGAATGTGGCGAGACAGCAGATGGGGAAGTCGGGGCAGTTGAAAACATAAGTCCAAGTGATTCAAACGATGTAGCAGACATGGTCGATGGAGAAATAGAGATTGATAATGTTGAAACAAGTAAAAAGAGCAAGGACTCCAGAGCTATCAAACTTTTCAAGAAAGCAATAGCTGATTTTGTGAAGGAGCTTTTAAAACCATCGTGGCGTCAAGGCAATATGAGCAAGGAGGTTTTCAAGACCATTGTCAAGAAAACTGTTGAGAAGGTGTCCGGAGCCATGAAGAATCGTAAAATGCCGAAGTCTCAGGAAAAGATTGACCACTATGTTGACTCTTCACAAAAGAAATTGACGCAGCTGGTGATGGTAAGTCCTCTTTTTTGCCTGCTTTATTCCTTTGATGGTGTTTTGCATCCAAAATATTAAAGGAAAGTATTCCAGGACTGTCATGGGTTAGTAGGATAGCAGAGTGGATTGTGTCTAGAGCCAACAAAATGGGTCGAAACCCGCGGGCTGGCCCGTTTAAACCCATTTATTGGTGGGTTAGGGTTGTAAATTTCTGACCCATTTAGTTTCCGAGTTTCGCAGGTCAACCCACTCGGGTTGCAGGTTTAAGTGGGTTGGCCCAACGGGTTGCGGGTTGGCATGTGGGCCAATATACATTTCTATTGAAAGGCTACATTTGCCCTTGTTTCTCGCATTTCCGTGCAACATAGGATAAAGGTTATGGTTTGTTTTAAGATTTGAAAATAGATGTTTGCAGAATGGTCAGCTAGAATTTACTTAGATGTAGGTGTGTACCTGTCTTGTACATGTGACTATTTTTAACATCAGCATGGGGGAGGGGTTATTACACCTTTCTGACAATGCGAGGTTTGCAGGGCTATGTTGATAAATATGTGAAAGCATGAATACCAACCGTTGTGACATTCACAGTTGAACAGTTGAGGATATTGAAAATGTTGCCTGCAGCTGTTCTACCCGGCTATTTAAAAAAGAATATGATATTTCACCTTTGAAAATATAGCTGGCACTTGTGTCTTGGCTTTCTATTGATAACGGTACACTGGCAAGCAAACCTATGTGTGGCAGCGATGAGAGGGTGAAGTTATTATGTCTTATATACAGATGTTGTTGGGAGTAAATAGAATGCAAGTGTTGTGGTAGACTGGTAGTGTTGTGTATTGAGCTAGTGTTTCACGATTTGCGGCACAAGATAATGGGTCCACCTTTTTCACGGCTACATATATAGGACCCAAAATATCTTGCACCATTTGTATGTAATTTGCTACTTGATTTTTAATGTATTTGTGTCTTCTTAAATCAATGTTTCAGAATACGTATATGTACATAATCTTTAATTGGCTTTTGATCGTCTTGTCAACCTGTATGTGTTGAGTTTTTTTTCCCGTGACAGCCTCACCTTCAAACACTGGTAGTTGATTTGTTTGGTATGATAGTAATTAATGGTGTTACGTGCACATTGGATGCCTATGCTTGGTTTGGCATTTCATTAATAAGCTTAAGGAATGTTGTTAATGTATTACATTCTACATACCCCGAAGTCCGAATTACATAAGGAGCCATCCGCAGTTTTACGGCAAAAGAAGTAATCTCCATCCATCCTAAAGGTAAATAGGTAGAATGATGGATAAAATGAGATGAAAATTTAAACAAGTTCGATTTAGGAAAACCATCATATTTTTAGACAGTTCAAAAAGAAAACTATATCTTATAGAATGAGATGTAGGGTATCAGGGTATGTGATCGTTTTACTAAAAAAAACGATTTAAGAGAAAAGTAGATGTGTGCATGGTAGTCAGCTAGAATAACTGAATAAGTAGAAGTATTCTACCATTTGCTTCCAACTTTCAAGTGTTCGCAAGCTACTACCTCCCAACTCCCAAATAGATTTTAGAGAAAAGTAATTTTTTTGTCCCAAGTAAATGATCTCGTTCATTACTTCATTGTGCTTCGGTCAATATAAGATTTTAACTTATGTGTTCAACTTTTATCAATTTTGATTTTTCTTTTTTCAATTTTATTAGACTTTTAATGATATTTCTAAAAGTGTAAATGTTATTTAATAAAGTAATCTTATTTTTTTGAGGGAAAATAATAAGACAATGATTAGTTAACTTTATAGTGAGTTAAACTTTTACTCGGGACAGAGTATCATCGTAAATTGTTTAAGTATTTTAGGGGAAATTTTCTGAAATAAGAGTAAAAATGTACTGGAATTCCAAAATATAACTGTCATGTTTTTTATTGTTTAAATATGAGTAATTACTGTCAAGTTTAGAATATATTGACGTGTTTAAGGTTTGGTAATGTCAAAACATGATAATAATTATTCCTATTTTGAAAAAAGTCTATTTTGAAATTCATAAACTATTTTACATATTTTTTATGACATTTTTTAGAGGATATGCCGGAATAAGTCTCCAACTATATATCCAGATAGGACTGATTTAGTCCCAAATTTTCTCTTGGGCGTATTTTGTAATTTTAGGGGTTTTCCCTTAAATATTACTCCCACCGTCCCTAAATTATCTTCCAACGTACATTTGACACATGGATTAAGATAGTGAATACTGTGTGGGGATACTATTATGGAATATTTGGTTAAAATTCATGCAATATTCATGTTTGGACTTTGTGTTTGAAAATGATTTTGAGATTATTTTAGTGAGATTACGAATTAAAGTACTCCGTAATATATATTTTGTACGAAGTAGTTTCTATGTCTTTTGTATGAAAATGTAGAGCCCGTTTGGTAGCACCAAAATCGGCTGTTTTGGCTGATTCTGCTGAAATTTATGATATTCTGGCTGGAGTGGCTGATTCTGCTGATTCTGCTGATTTAAGAAAAAAATATTTTAAAAATATATTTTATTAATAAATTAAAGAAAAAATTATATGTAAAAATAGCTAAAATGGTCCTCTACAGTAACTTCAGCCAATACAGCCAGAAAAGTAACTCCAACCTTACTTTTTCGGCTTATTACACAATTCAGCGCGCGAAAGTAAAAGTTACGTGTTTGGTGAAAAAGCTGGCTGATAAGCCTGATAAGCCGAAAACAGAGTTCTCCAAACGGGCTCGTAATATGTAGTATGTTTAAAATATATGTGAGTTAGTTACTCTGAAAAGTGTACTTTTTTACGTGTTATGCCTTGATGGCTCAACAAATCTCTCATATGGATCAAAAGCTTTGTGAAAACTACATGTATTACATAGTGTGCTATTTTTTACACCACTCAAATAACATGGAGTTGTAGAATCTCTATCCCCAAGCATGTCAAATTTAGCTAGATAAACAATATACTATCGGATGAATGGAGACAAAATTTTCTTAGAATGAACAAATTGGACAATGCATTACTTAATTAGTACATTATTTACCTTAATATTATTTTGTTCAACATGCTCGGAGTAAGCATATTCAGATTGATTATCACTTTGTTCGTGAACGCGTGGCTCATGGTGATCTTGTGGTTAACTATGTGCCTACTAGTCTTCAGCTGGCGGATATATTTACTAAGAGTCTTTCTAGTCAGCAATTTCATTTTTTAAAAGACAACATGCGCATTGTATCTCCCGCACAGTTTGAGGGGATGTATTAGCCTAATATTAAATTAGGAATACTTTGTATCTTTGGAAACTCTTATTATTATAAATATATCTGACAGGTACCTTATTGGGTAACCTTTCCCATTATTTCACAACCACACATTTTTTAAAGTTAATCACAAGTCATAGAACTATCATTATATCTCGAGTGTAATACACAAAGCTATCTACCGCGATAACACTTTATAATGTGAAAGTCAAGAATAACTTGAGCGACACAAGTTTCACATATTGGTTGGAAGTATTACATGACATGCTTCATGACGGAAATGAATTTCTAAAGTTAAACTATTGCACGAATAAGCTAAATGATGAAAAAATTATCTTAGTCAAACTATTTGAATGAAGTTGGAGGTGTGAGAATGGATCTAGGTGCTGTTCTGTTCGTCTTATTCTTATTACTTATTGCTTATTCTTATTTTATTCAGATCAGATCAGATCAGATCAGATCAGAAAGATTCAGATCAGATCAGATCAGATCAGATCAGACCAGATCAGAAGCATTCAGATCAGATCAGAAACATTCAGATCAGATCAGATCAGAAAAGTTCAAACATGATTTATCACTTTTATTATTATATTAAATATTAATTATTGTTATTAATATTGTTATTACTATTATGATTATTATTATATAATTATTATTAATAATATTAATAATAATATGATAAAAAAAGATATTAATAATAGTTATAATATTTTAATATAATAATAGTAATATAAATGCAATTGTTAAGAAGACTATTATTATTACAACATAATAATAATATGATTAATATTATTATAATATTATATTATAATTATATGTAATTATAATTATAATTACAATTATAATTCTTATAATTATAAGTATAATCAATTGTAATTATTATAATTATATATATAATTAATTATATTTATGATTGTAATTAATTATAATTATAATAATTATAATTATAATTACAATCACAATTATAATTATGATTATGATTATAATTATAATATAATATTATAATAATATAATACTAATTATAATAATAATCATATTATTATTATTATATTATTGTAATAAAAATATTAATATAATAATATCGTTATAATAATATTAATTGTATTTATATTTTTATTATTATATTATAATATTATAATTAATGTTAATATAATTATAATTATTATTAATTATAATTATAATAATTATAATTATACTTATAATTATATTATAACTATAATTTATGATTATAATTATTATTTTTATTATAATTAATATTATTATTATTATTATTATTACTATTGTAATTATTTTACGGAGTAATTATAATAATATTGATAACTATAGTTACAATTATAGAGATAAATATTGTAAGTATAATTACAATTATAATTATAATTTTATTTAAATTATATTTGTAATTGCAATTATAATAATTATAATTATAATTATAATTATAATTATAATTATAATTATAATTATAATTATAATTATAATTATAATTATAATTATAATTATAATCATAGAAATATTCGAATCAGATCAGATCAGAAAGATTCAGATCAGATCAGAAACATTCAGATTAGATCAGACCAGATCAGAAACATTCAGATCAGATCAGAAAGATTCAGATCAGATCAGATCAGAAAGATTGAGATCAGATCAGATCAGATCAGAAAGATTCAGATCAGATCAGATCAGATCAGAAAGATTCAGATCAGATCAGATCAGAACTTAAAAAATTCAGATCAGAAACATTCAGATCAGGCGAAGAGAACAGCTTCTTAGTTCAGATTGTGTTTGTAAGGCATATTATGCTATAGATTTTCTTGGCAGAACTACATACACATTCGAGAGTTCTTAAACTATATAAGCCTCTTTGGTGTTTCAAATCATAATAAGTTGACAATGAAATTAAAGTGGGGCACATGGTTGATGATGTTAAGAAATATAATATAGATCATTCTATGAGACTATGTAATGGAACGCTTGACGAAGTTGGGGAGCATATCCTAGAGGGAAAAATTGCCACCGATGTTAGAGTAGGCACAAGAGTTCTAATTCAAAAAATTTCATTAACACTTTCTGATGCCAGATTATCATTTCGGATCAAAAGAGTTATATCCAATAATGACTTCATACAATAATTTTAATGAGCATATAACATGCTCATTGATAAACACGTAGAGTGATAAGGTTAACTAGGGGTGAACACAAGTCAGGCCAAGTTTAAATTTGGGTTTGCTCGAGCTCGAGCTCGATAAGAACGTGAATTACTCGAGCGCGAGCGAGCGTACTAACTCAGGCTCGAGCTCAATTTGGGATCGACTCGGGCTCGTTTCAAATTTTGCTCATGAGCCTTTATAGGTTCAAGCTTGAATATGCTCGAACTCAAGCTTGAATTCAGACTATAAACAATTTATTTCTATTCTTGAAATTATTAATATTATATTTATAGAAATAAAAAAATTAATATTATAATATGTGTGTGCATATGTGTATGTGTGTGTCTTTATACTCGCACATATAATAAATATACATTATTTATATATATTTTGAACCCGATGTTAAACAAGAAAACCGTAAAGGAACTAAAGGTTCTTTGGGTAGGTGCTTGGGAACACCCTTCCGGTTTATGAGATAATCCTTTGTACAAAATGCAAAGAGTAGGAGGGTGCCTATTCAGTTATTTATGTATGTCATTGTTTGCGAGGAATGCGAGCCGTGCCGTGAGCCACGAACTGGGATGAATTAAGCTCGAGTTCGAGTTTGACCAAACTCGAGTAGATTTTCGAACAAGCGTCTCATGAATAATTTACGTTTGGAACGACCGAGGTAGATTTTTGACCAAACTCCCAAGGCTACATATTAAACAGTGGGGTGT